TGAAGGACTCGTCGGAGAATAACTAAAATAAAAAATATTCAAAAATTTAATTTCTTTAAATTGGTGTCAAATAGAGAGCAAACATACGAAGGACTGGTCGGAGAATATGAAGGACTTGTTGGCGAATACGAGGGACTCGTTGGTGAATAGGAAGGACTTGTCGGTGAATATGAGGGACTTGTGGGCGAATAGTTAGGACTCGTGGGCGAGTAGTTGGGAGACGTCGGCGAATAAGAAGGACTCGTCGGAGAATACGATGGACTCGTCGGTGAATATGTAGGACTTGAAGGTCCGACTCCGGGAGACATCGGGGCATAGGCTGGAGATGACGGCGAATACGATGGCGAGAGTAAGCCATGCGGTGATGGTATGTATGGCGAAGTGGGAGAGCCGGGTGAACCGGGTTGTGGTGACCAACCGGGCGAATATCCCGGTGAAAAACCACTCGCATCTGATGCGGCAGATGGCGAAAATCCGGCCGCATTTGGTGTCATTCCAAGACCAAGTCCGGGAGACCAGGCCTGACCATAGGCGGGAGTGGCCCCCTGTCCCCAAGGGGTCATCTGCGGTGTCATACCAGCCATTGATGGCGAGTCCGCGCCGCTATAGAAAATGCCGACTCCTATTGGTTTAACATAGCATTAATAAATCATTGATTGAACAAAATGTATACGAAATCGTTGCAAACATACCCATAGTTGCCATTCCGGGCAAATTCATGGGAATTTCAATGCCCTGTTTGCACTTATCCGGGTCCAAAAGCATGCCGAAAGCTCCCGTTCCCATTTTGGCCAACTGTCCTACTATTATATTCTCAGAGACGCCCTTCAAGTGGTCGACCTCCGCATGAGAGGCCGCGTCTATCAACACATCGACCGTCTCTTCGAAAGAACAGCGCATAAGAGCGCCGACGTCTTGACGATTGATTCCGTGTCGAGTGATTGCCATGAGATGGCCTTTCGCTGTCATTACGTCACACAAAAGGGCTAAATGTCGGTAATTAACGTAAGAACCGTCAAAACTAATCACGTGATTCATCTCCTTTTCAATAGCTTTGCGGACGGCTTCGATGCCAAGGGTTGAAAATATCTCGCAGATATCGTTAGAGTAGGTCCGGGCGGGATCCACATCCCGTTCCGACAGCACACGCATTAGCGCTGTTCCGTCGGTCTCGAGTAACCACTCGGCTATGGCTTTGTATTCTCCCGTATCAGTGATTATAATACGTTTCTTGTTATCAGTTGTCGGCAAATGCATATACACTTTCACTATGGCTTCGATGCCCTATTCAAGCAAAAGATGGATTAGTTTTGTATACAAAAAATATATTATTTTTAAACTTTGAATAATTACCTGAAGAGTAATATCTGAAAGCATTGACGCCTCAATACACCTGAGGAAGACGTCGTCCTCCATCTTATCGACCTGTTCTTCGTCTTCCATCTTTTCCTCTGAGTTCATAATACGGATCCGAAGGATAAGTCTCTCCGCGTTGTCGTCGTTGAAAATGCAGTTCAAGTCGTCTCCAAAGCCGGCGTTAATCTTCTCTGCGATGGCTTCCATCGTCAGCTTCTTGTCTGTCATCCTTTTTCGGTCCAATTCTATGCGTAGAAGCCATGGACTGATGCGAGAGGTGTCAAAGTCTGGCATTTCGTAGTAAACGTTCACAAACTCCTGATCCTCAACGATAACGCTGTTGAGAGGGTCGGGATCGT